ATATATATATATAATAAAATAAATATATATATAAAAGCCAATGGAAATATTTAAGAATCCAGAAATTGCACTGAAGATGACTGACTCCATATAAAAAGATAAAGGACTCTTTCCCAGACTGACCCAGATGTATATGTGTTTGATGAAACTTTGTTTATGTGAGGAAACTACTAAATAGAACAAGCAAATAAAAAGATGATTTACTGGGACTGGGATTATAGCTCAGTGACAGAGTGTGTGTTTAGCATGTGTGAGGCACTGGGTTTAAATTCCAGCACATACACACAAAAACAAGGACTGGGGCACCATATAGCTCAGCTGTATAGTGCTTGTCTTGATCTTCAGCAGTACAAAAAAAAAAGAAAGAAAACAAAAAGCCAACCTATTAAAATTATTTAAATGTGGGGGCAACTTTTCAATATTAGGATATTTTAATTAGAAATACTGATAAACAGGGCTAGGGTTGTGGCAGTGGTAGGGCGCTTGCCTAGCATGTGTGAGGCACTGAGTTTGCTTCTCAGCACAGCATATAAATAAAGTCGGGGCTGGGATTGTGGCTCAGTGGTAGAGTGCTTGCCTAGCATGCACAGGGCCCTGTGTTTGATCCTCAGCACCACATAAAAATAAATGAATGCAATAAGGGTATTGTGTCCAAATAAATATTTAAATAAATAAAGTCCATTTGACAACTAAGAAAAGAAAAAACAAACAAAAAAAAGAAATATTAATAAACAAAAGTCAAACTTCTGCTAGGCATGGTGGTGCACACCTGTAATCCCAGCAACTCTGGAGACTGAGGCAGGAGGATCATAAATTCAAAGCCAGCCTTGGCAGTTTAGCAAGGCCCTCAAGCAACTTAATGAGAACCTGTTTAAAAAGTGTGTGGGGTTGGGGGAGATGTGCTGAGGATATAGCTCAGTTGGTAGAGTGCTTGCCATGCATGTACAAGGCCCTGGGTTCAATCCCTAGCACCTCAAAAAGAAGAAGAAGGCAGGACTGAGAATATGATTCAGGGGGCTGGAGCTGTAGCTCAGTGGTAGACTGCTTGCCTAGCATGCGTGAGGCCCTGGGTTTGATTCTCAGCACCTTGTAAAAATAAACAAATAAAATAAAGGCACCCGTCCATCTATAACTACCCAAAAAAAAAAAAAAAAAAAAAGAGAGAGAGAGAGAATATGTTTCAGGGGTTAAACCCCCTTGAGTTCAATCCCTGGTACCAAAAAAAAAAAAAAAAAAAAGAAGTTCAGATTCCCTTCCAAATTTTTCAATCAAAAGTTTCATCAAGGGCTGGGGTTTAGCTAAGTGGTAGAGCGCATATGTGAGGCACTGGGTTGGATCCTCAGCACCACATAAAGTAAAATAAAGACATCTATAACTAAAAAAAAAAAAAAAGAAAAGAAAAGAAAAGAAAAAGTTTCATCAAACACTACCCACCATAGGAACAAAGTAATCCAGACTTTGGGGATGGTACCAGAAGATCTCAGAGATGACACTCTCCCAAATTAACAAGCCAGTTATAATTCCAGACAAAGAATATGTGGAATGTAGCCCCCTGTTCCTGCTGATGGGCAGAATCACAGACTTTAGGATAGAAATACCCTGTTTCTTCTTTACTAGCAAAGAAATAAACTTTCTTTTATCTTTTTCTCAAAAAAGAAAAAAAAAAAGTTTAATCAAGATGGGTGCAGTGGCACAGGTATGTAATTTCAGCAGCTTAGAGGGCTGAGGAAGGAGGATTGTGAGTTCAATGCCAGCCTCAGCAACTTAGTAAGTCCCTAAGCAACTCACAGAGGCCTCTCTAAATAAAATACAAAAAGGGGCTGTGGATGTGGCTCAGTGGTTTAGAGCCCCTGGGTTCAATCTCCTATACAAAAAAAAAAAAAATCATCAAAAATGAAAATAAAATTTCTGTGGTTCATACCTATGGAAATAATTGGGTTTTTTTTTTTTTTTTTTTTACTTTTTGGGGGTTTTTTATTTGTTGATGGACCTTTATTTTATTCATTTATCTATATGTGGTGCTGAGATTCAAATCCAGTGCCTCTCACAGTTGAGGCAAGCGCTCCACCATGGAGCCACAACCCCAGCACGATGATTGGGTTTTGACACTATTGTACACGGTGTGCCTTCCTCCTCAAAGCTTTTTAAGAATCTAAACTTTATTTTATTTATTTATTTTTATGTTGTGTTAAGGATCAAAACCAGGGCTTCACTCAAGCTAGGCAAGCACTCTATCACCGAGCTACAATCCCAACCCCAAAATGAAAAAACATATATATAAAAGTCAAAACTAGGCTCATTTCTAATTTTAGATTATAAGAGGCCTTCCTATTAATTAAAACAGTAGGTACTCAACATCTAAGAAATGATATACCCCAAAAGCATTTTTAAAGAGAGAGAGAGAGAGAGAGAAGGGAGAGAATTTTTTAATATTTATTTTTCATTTTTCAGCGGACATAACATCTTTATTTTATTTTATGTGGTGCCGAAGATCAAACCCAGCGCCCCACGCGTGACAGTCCTTCCTATTTTTTATTTTTTTGAGACTCACATTGCCAATGCTGACCTCAAACTTATGATCCTCCTGTCTCAGTCTCCTGAGTCTCTGAGATTACATGCATATACCACCAAATCCAGCTAACCCTTGTTTAATTTGATTCAAAAGTACAACAATTTAAAGTAAGTTAAATTTAGAACAATTTAACCTTTCCAAATTAATACCTGTTAAATATATCAACCTATAGGCTATCATTTTTTACTTTTTTAATACTGGAGATGTGTGACAGAAAAGTTTATAAGGTACAGAAATAAAGAGGAAGTTTAAAAAATAACTGATAATATCTTTCTAAAACTCTGTGGCAGTTCTGCATATACTTATTACATTATTCTTTAAAACTTGTTGATTGTCACATATATTTTGTTAAAAACATTTTAAGAGAAACCATTATTATAAACGAAGTAATATAGTAGTTTCAAAAATAGAAATCTAGTAAACAAAGGGAAGAAGATGAAGAGGACAGGATACAAGAAAGCACAGCCAGGGCTGGGTTGTGGCTCAGTTGTAGGTGCCTGCCTGGCATGTGTGAAGCACTGGGTTCCATCCTCAGTACCACATATAAATAAATAAAATAAAGATCTATCAACAACTAAAAAAATATTTTAAATAAATAAAGTATAAAAACAAGAAAAAAGAAAGAAAGCACAGCCAGGCGTGATGGCACATGCCTGTAATCCCAGCAATTTGGGAGGCTGAGGCAGGAATATTACAAATTCAAAGCCAGCCTTGGCAACAGCAAGGCGCAACTCAATGAGACCCCTTCTCTAAATACAAAATAGAGCTGGAGATGTGGCTCAGTAGTTGAGTGTTCCTGAGTTCAATCCCCAGTACCCGGCCCCCGCCCAAAAAAAAAAAGTGGATGTTGAACCTTTCCAAATTAATACCTGTTAAATATATCAACCTATAGGCTATCATTTTTTTATTTTTTTAATATTGGAGATCGAACCCAGGGCACTCTACCACTGAACTACATGCCCAGCCCTTTTTATTTTTTGAGATAGGGTTTCACTAAATTGCTGAGGCTGACCTAGAACTTGCAATCCTCTTGCTTTAGCCCCTTGAGTCACTGGGATTACAGATGCACAACACTAGGCTGTCCTATTTTTACTTTGGAAAATCAACTATTTCTTTATAACACTGGACTCATTTTTGCAAGTGTTATAAACAGTGTTTGAAAAAATGTGCATTCTCAGCAGCATGCAAAGTTCCATATGTATATGTTACATCAAATTTCTATGCCATGTGCAATGGCCACACCTGTCATCCCAGTAACTCAGGAGGGTGCCCTGGGCTGTATAGCAAGACCCT